ATCAACATACCTTCTATTAGATTTTAGTGAAAATTGTTGATTTCTGCAATATGTAGAGCTCTTGTTTCCAACTTTTGTAAGAATGTCTCTAACAACCATCAGTGATAATCTAATTGGACCTGAGTTAGGTATGGTTCTAATTTCATTTTTATACAAAAAATATTATTGACAGTTCTATTAATTGGTGGATATCAGTAAGTGTTAACTTGGTTCTTGTTTTAAGATCAGTTTTATCATAGTTAAGATAACCAAATTTTTTTTTTTTTTTTTATTTGCATTCACTCCCAACAAGGCTGCAAGCAACCACTATTAAGTTGGGAGTTACTAGGAAAAAAAAGAACAGAGTTATAGAGCAAGGAAACGGTTGACAGAAGACTTGAAAAGTTGAAGGTTGTATGAGTCAGGAAAACATGAAGATGGGAGAGAGTTCCAAAGGATTAAAAAAACTAGATGAATAAAAGTTTTTAGAGCATGCAGGGACAGATACAGTAAACGAATGAGACTTAGCTGAATGACGAGTAAAACGAGAATGAATTTTAGTTGATGGAACTAAAGATGATAACTGCTTTGAGCAGTGACCATGATAGTATTTGTAGAAAAGAGAAAGAGATGCAACTTTATGACAATGGGAAAGAGGTTCAAGCTTAGCTGATAGTCCAGGTCCAACAACATTTACAATGCGTTTTTGGACCTTGTCAAGAAGAGAAAGTGAATCGTTAGAAGAACCAGCCCAAATATGACAACAGTATTCCATACAGGGACGAATAAGAGATTTGTAGAGGTAGAGAATGGAATCAGAAGTAAGGAAATGGCGAGCACGATAAAGAGAAGCAACCTTAGCAGAAGCTAATTTAGCAATCAATTGTATATATGGTTTCCATGAAAGGTCAGTAGTAAGCGATAATCCAAGAAGACGTAAAGAAGAAGACTCAGTAAGAGGATTGCCATTCATTAATATAGGAATGCTGACCATATTACGGTAGTTGTTTGCAGTAAACAACTGGGTTTTGTTAGAGTTGAAATTCACAAGCCACTGTAAACCCCAATCCATTACTGAAGTGAGATCGGATTCAAGATCAGCTGCTTGTTCTAGGCGATCGAAAAGAGAAGACTTTTTGTCAAGACAGGAGTATAAAGTTGAGTCATCAGCAAAAAGAGCTACTTTAGATGAAAGATTGTCAGGAAGATCGTTTGTGTAGATAAGAAATAAAACAGGGCCCAGGATGGAACCTTGGGGAACCCCAGAAGTTACTGGAAATAAAGAAGAGTGTTGGCCTTCAAGGATGACTTTAATAAACCGGTTAGAAAGAAATGATTTGATAATCTCAAAAACTTTCCCAGAAACAACATATGAAGCAAGCTTATGGAGAAGACCAGCATGCCAAACTTTGTCGAAAGCTTTAGATATGTCGAGAGCAATAGCCCTAGCCTCACCGCCTCCATCTAATGCACGATAAAATCTTTCAGTTACAGCAGTTAGCAAGTCGGCTGTAGAGCGAGAGTTTAATTGAGATATGACTTTAGCAACAGAAGCCGGAGTGATTTGAATGTCTAACAATGGGTCAACCTGTTTGACTGGAATGGAAGGAAGAGAATGTCCATAAGATTCAAGAGTGAAATTAGAAGAAAAGTTCTTTGCAAATAGTTCTGCCTTATCCTTGGGAGAAGTAATAAGATCAGTCCCATGAATGAGAGATGGAATGTTAGATCTACCCTTGTTAATAATGCTGTTGAAGATTTTCCAAAAGTCTTTAGAGCCTAACTTCTGCGATAAGATGCGAGATTTAGTGAACTGAGAATAATGGAGTTTAGCATCAGAAAGCACCTTTTTACATCGATTTCTTGCAATAATAAACAGCCGTTTGTTCTCAAGAGAGTTGTTCTTTTGAAAAAGATGAAAAAAATGATTACGATTGGATATAGCAGCCGCACAAGAAGGAGAAAACCATGGAGTAGAATGAGGCTTGACTTGAAACCGACGCGAAGGAATAAAAGCTTCCATTCCAGCCTGAATCCAGGAGGTTACGTAGGAGGCGCATTTGTCAGCTGAGAGAGAAAAAACATCAGCCCTAGGACCATCACGAAGAAAATCACGAAAGGAATCCCAGTCAGCTTTAGGGTAGTAGTAGGTGGTGCGATGATAAGGTGAGCCCAAAAAAGAAGTATGAGAAGAAAGATTTATAGAGATCATTGCATGGTCAGAACCACCTAAGGGAGAAAAGGGAGAAACTGAACATAAGCTAGGGTCAGAGACAAGACATAAGTCAAGGAGTGAAGGTAAATGATTAGGGTTGTCAGGAAAACGAGTCACAAAGTTAACTATCTGAGTAAGAGATTGAGAAACGCAGAAGTTAAAGGCTTTAGTGCCAGCAGGATCAGTGGTGTTAGAGCCAAGCCATTTAGTGTGATGGGCATTAAAATTACCAACAACAACAATATTGGCAGAGGGGTAAAGAGAGAGGGCATGGTCAATTTGATCAGAGATCTAAGAGAGTGCAATCATGGGAAGAAGGAGAACGATAAAGAACAAAGAGAAAGGTGATAGAGTGAAGAGGTGCTAGGCGAAAGCACATAAAAGAATGATCAAAGGATTCGAACCTGATTTCACGACAAATAGGGGAATTAATGCGTATGCATACCCCTAAACCTAGCATGTGACTATTTGAGTCTTTACGAATCAAAGGATAGTACCCATCAACACTGACATCTGAAGAGAATTAAAATTTGTTTCACTGAGTGCAAGCAAGTCTGGTGAATTTTGCAGGAGGTAAGACTCAACTGATGGAAAGTTGCTTCGTAGACCGCGAATATTTGTAAAAGATATATTAAAATATTTAGGTGGTGGGGATGGTTTTTTAGGTTTTAAATTTTTGGTTACTTTGGTCATGGTTTGGGTTTAATGAGAACTTGACTCATTCATAGATAGAGCACAGCCTCCTAATCAATGAGCTATGCAGTTGTCTCAGTCCTGTTAATTAACCCTAAGCCGTGACATAGGGCTCCTTATGTGGCCTTGACAATGCACACCAAAAGCATTAACAGGGACACCATCCATGCGCAACATGGCACTATTAATACTCTGATATTTTGCAGCTGTTGATGGAATCAGCCTCTCTGAGAGCTACCACAGAGTTCGGGAAACCTTACTACCAGCCGGCCTCAGAACCATTAAACTGAGTTTTAGAGCTGTACCCTCATATGGAGATAACAGGGAGAGTTGCGTAGCCATTATCAAGGAGGCATAAGCAAAATTCTATGAGTAGAGTCAAGAAGATCCAGCATTCATCATCCTAGGCAGGAAACAATGTAACACAGGTTACATTTACGCCAGCCTAATAGATGAAGAAGGGGTTCAAGGCTGGTTAGCAGAATTTTTCTGCTTACCCCTAAAGTCTTTGCCTAGGAGGCCTTCTACAAGACAGTAGCTGGATGCAGTTAACATCTGCCCAAGATGAGTGTTTTTATCGAGACACCATCTCTAGCCTTTACTCAACCAAGAGCCCCAAGGCAGGGGAATTTTTAGTCGGAGTTTATTTCTCCTAGCCTTTGCATAAGAAGAGCACACTCTGCAAGGCAGCAGGGCTTGTGGCAGGTGGTACTGGGTTACGTGATACCAGTAGCAAGATTGATCTCGATTATCATGACCTGACCTGGATTAATTATCACAGGTATGTCTTTATCAATTGATATTGATGTATACAAAGCTATTACATCATACGATTCTTGAATTTTATCTACTGAAACACCAGGATTTTGCTTCATTGACAAATAATGTACAATTCAACAAGCATGTTTTGTTTTTATTGACATCGTCTTTGTAATGACTTCTCTATGATTTTTATTTTGTAACGGTTTTTTAAATTGGTATTTTATTGGTAAATTTTACCTCTGATAATGGTCTATACAAATTAGACCAAAATATCACAAAAAAGAAAAATTAATTAGTATTATGCTGTTTTTGATGTATTATAACTAATTCATAATATGTGTATTACAAATTTTAAATATGCATATTAGGGTGGAGCGATTTTCATAGCAAAAAAAAAAAAGTTTAAAAATAAATATTCTTGAGGCGCGAATCAAGGTCTATTAAATTATAAAAAATAAATTTTAAAAATATTTTCCGATTTTGATGAGCTATTGAGATTCCTTTTTGGATTCTAAACTCTTGACAAGTCCTAATATTTTTGATTTTTTTTGTCTAAACCATAACAACCTTGGACTCAAAAAAAGTAGGAAAAAATGCATGTTTTATAAATTATAATTTTATTGAATAAAAAATTTTTGTAAAAAAAAAAATTTTTGCAAAAATATACTTAAATATATCTTGTTTTGTTAAAAACGGGGGAAAAAATGACAATATTTTTTATTCCTTTATTTTTTAAATAAAAACAAATATTTTCAAAATCAGCATATTATTCTGCTTCTTTTGAAAAAATTTTAACAATATTAGGACCTGTCAAGAATTTAGAATCTAAAGAGGTACCAAAAAAATTTTAAAATATTTCACCCTAATGCATACATATACAAATTTCATATATACAAATTTGAAATAAAATAACATTTTAAAAATTAATGTCGTTTTCTTATTAAAATTTAGTCTTGTTTATATATTTGTTTAGGAAAGGATTTATTCCTGGGAATCCGGAAAATTATTTATATTATTAAATATGGTATTCTAATATAAAATATGAATATTCTAATATTCAAATTTGCTACCCAAATGGTTTGTATCCTTGTAGACTTAATAGAAGACTATTAAAAAAAATTCAACATATTTAACTTCAATTGTTTACTCTAGACTAATATATATTAATAATATAATAACATATATAATGGTTAAAATTATTACATTTCAAAGTAATTTGGATATTACAATAACTTTTTTCCAAATAAAAATCATTCATTTTTTTTCAAATTTAAATCAAAATATAATAGTACAATAAAAAGTAATTATATTTATTATAAATATTTTCTAAATAAAAAAAAGTTTCTCTTACTTTCCTAAGCGTACGTCTTGCTTGATTTGTAAAAAAAATTGATATCTGCAAACAAAAGAATTATTTTGTATTAGAACCATAATAGTTAATCACTTTATTGCAAAATAATTAAAAAACCTAATTAGGGCTACAAATAAATTAATAAATTGTGGAGCTCTTTAAGTTGCACATTTAACCATTGGTTAGTCAACAATAATTTGCTGTAATTTAAACAATAAATGTGTTAATGTTGTTTTAGAATTCTCTTCAAGTTAAATCAATTTAATCAACCTACTTCTCAACATTTGTTTAATACCCTCTTAAGTACAATATATTAAAAAAAAAAAACCTGGTTAATTCTTCCTTCAGTTTGTGAGGCTCCAAAGCATAAAACTTTACTCTAAAATGCAGAGTGTAAGGGGGACCAACTGAAAACAAAATTAAACACTTTATAAATTCAAATAAACTTAAATTTAACAGAGAACTGGCCAACAAAAACAAATTTAATAAAGGATATAAACTTTTAGTCACTATCAACAAAAAAAAAGTCTAACAATAAATAAAAATGTTTTATTTGTTGCTAAACAGTACTTTTTATATAAATTCAGAAAGTTATTTATAAGAAATTATCTATATGCTTACTTTCAACTTGTTTTTTCACTTTCTTTACAGGGTTCACCCAATGCTATAAAGTAACAAAATGTTTTTAAAATGAAAATAATACTTGAATATAATGCATTTTATGTACTCTTTTTACATACTCACACTCATGCACAAACATATATATATATATATATATATATATATACATACATACATACATACATACATACATACATACATACATACATACATACATACATACATACATACATACATACATACATATATATATATATATATATATATATATATATATATATATATATATATATATATATATATATATATATATATATATATATATATATATATTAATTTGGTTAAAATAGACAAAAAATAGTGGTAGATTTGCAATAATTCGCATAGAGCTGAAAATTGGTACATAGCTTGAGTACATTAATACAAATAAAGTGTTAAAAGTGCCCATTGATCATATATCTGCAAAAAAAAAAGTTATTCAAGTTCAAAGTTATAAAAAAAAAGTTTTGTTTTTTTTTTAAAAAAAAAGAAATGCTTAAACATAAAAATAGATCAAACAAACGCGAAGTGCATTTTAACGCCTTTTTGAATAAACTGTTTCAGCGGTTTTTCTCTGATCTTGTATAAGAACAATGAAAAATGCTTTTTTTTTAATAATCTTTTAAACTGATTTTTCTCGTCTGACTTCCAAAAATTCTTAGAGTTTCAAAGTTACAAACTATGATATACTTTTAGTGTTGAACGTTCTATTGCAGTGAATAGTATCAAGTAGTTTTATTACGATTGGAGCCGTTTAATACTTTTATTAAAATGTCGCAACTATGTTTTATTTGTAGTAAACTTTTAACAGCAAATGAAACTGTAGTTGTTGAACGTGGAATGAAAACTTTGATTAATACGAGTGTTAAAAGAAGTGACGGTTTTTTATGAATACCTGAAAGATCTGAAGTCTGTGACGATTCATGTGGTGTGCCGTAAAAAGTATACTTGGAAAAGTACTATTGCTGCATTTAAAAGACAGCAAGATATAGATCAAGTCAATAAATCTGAAAATAGTCCACCTTGTACCAGAGCGCGCGTAAGTGAATCACTTTTTTGTTTAAAAAAATTTTGCTTATTTTGCGACGATGAAGCAAACGAGGAGTCCAAGAAGAAGAAAGCGATGAAAGTTCGGTGTAAAATTCATAAAAGTGCTACTATTGAATTTAAAGAATCAATTCTGAAGGTAGCATGGAGTAGTTCTGATGAGGAAACAAAAAAGGTTACTGCACGCATTGAATATGAATTTGATTTAGTTGCTGCTGAGGCTAAATATCATAATACATGTTATAATTCTTTATTGAGACCAACCAATGGGTGTAAAATCGGTCGTCCTCAAGATGAATCTACAAATGTTATGATGGAAGAAACACTTAAATACATTGAAAATAGCGATGATTGCCAGTTTTCATTAGAAGAATTGAAAAACATTTGCAAAAATCCACATTTAGATAATAAAACAATTAAGACACGATTAAAGTTGAAGTTCGGTAATAAAATTATTATCAATGAAAAAGCGGGAAAATTAACGTTTATTTGTTTTTTGAACAGTCATAGAGATATTCTTACCCAAGCTTGGTATGAGAAGAAAAGCCAAAATAATTAAGGAGAACGATTTCAAATTTTAAAAGCTGCGGCATCAATCATTCGAGAGGACATTCAATCATTAGTATTTGATAATACCAATTATCCCTCGCCTAGTCAAATGTTTGAAGATATTAACAGCGATATTCGAGAGTCATTGACTTATTTTTTAGAGCAAGTTATTTTGAAAAAAAAAAGATCTAAATTAGAACATTTAAAATAAGTGTGTACAAGTATCAGCCACAGCATTATGTCTGCTGTTAGGCCTAGGTCTTTTAAATCAAAATCGCAATTGGGTCTCTCAATATTTTTCCATCAACGATTTGGTTTCAAACTTCTTATACAAATCTTTTCGTCTTTTGGTTTATGCGCATCCTACAATGGCACTTTAATGTATGAGGCAGCAGCAGTTCTTCACCATCCGCCTTTTATCTTACCACCACAAACTGGCACATTTATTCAATACGTTGCGGACAATGCTGATATAAATGTGGTTGGACTGGGGTTGGAAATTAGTAAATAATACATTAGAGCCGATTGAAACTTTACTCCCACCAGCTCCAGAAAAACTTCTCAATACCATCTTCTGCAATTGCAAAAAGGGTTGTAGTGCAAAATGTAGCTGTAAAAAAGTCGGGTTATTCTGCTCATCGGTGTGTACTAATTGCCGAGGCCAGTCTTGCTCCATAATTTTGATGATATTAATGAGGAGACAATTGATGTATCTTTTTCACGTATCCAGCTTGAAAAAAAAGATGACTACGAAGAAGAAGAAAGCGAAGAAGATACTAATATATAATATATCATTTAATAATAAATAATATAATTTATCATTTAATATATATAATATATCATTTAATAATAAATAATATTAATTTCGTAATTTAACAAGAATCGCAATTACTTTTCTAGCATTATATTTTATATAAAATTGAAATATATTTTCTCGTAATATATTCTTGCAATATCTTCTTGCAATATATTTTTGCAAGAATTGCAATATCTCAGGAATAATGATTCTTATGAAAATGTATAAAGGCAATTTTAGTAAACACTTTCATAATCTAATACGTTTGTTTGATCTATTTTTATAATAAAACGTTTTCTTTTTTTAAAAAAAAATCACCTTTTTTTTATACCTTTGACCTTGAATAACTTTTTTTGAAGATATGGGACCGATGGGGACTTTTAATACTTTATTTGTAATAATGTCCCAAAGGTATGTACCAATTTTCAGCTCTATGCGAATTATATTAAATTGAAATGTTTATTTTGACCGGATTATATTTATATATATATATATATATATATATATATATATATATATATATATATATATATATATATATATATAAATATATATATATATATATATGATATTCACCTCCTTAAGGCCGAGAAGGCCACTACAGACAAGGAGGCAACTAATAGTGGTTATAACCCTCTCTCAACTCTATAACTCCAAAACACGAACCTTGACGAACAAGGCTGCTGCGCGGAGAAACAAGTTGAGCGCGGTACTACCAGGGATGTGGTGGGGATCGAACTCGGAACCTCTCGCTTATGAAGGGAGTGTTTTAACACTACACCACTACCGCATTTATATACATATATATATATATATATATATATATATATATATATATATATATATATATATATATATATATATATACATATAGATATAGAAAAATTATGTTTTCAAGCATGTAGAATAAAAAATTTAGAACTAAATCAAATAACTATATTAACCAAAATAGTTATAATAAGAAGAAACTTACTGGTACTTGCTTGGCATCCATAAACTGCAAGCCAAAATAATCTTTTTCAACTAAATCAAGATGTAAAAATACTCTTCGTAGCAACTCGTCTCCCATGGCATCTTTCTAAACAGGGAAAGTTACACTTTATTAAATCTTGCTAAATTTATATATTTTAACATCAAATATTAAGCTAGCATCTAAATTACTGAGTAAATATGGATATGTACTACTATTGGTATGTACTACCAGGCTTTGACAGGAACAGCAAGCTATTGATCACTTCACCTGACCACAGCTATAGTTTTTTTTTTCTTAAAATATGACATTATTCAATGGACATGTTCTGTAAGTAACAGTAAATTAAAGATTATTTGAAATTATAAAAATGTTTGATTCTTCAAAATTTTAAATAAAAGTGTGTTCTTAAAAATATAAAATATGCAATGTAGGTGATGGCTTTTTAAGTTTAAATAACTTTGTTCTGTTAGTAAAAAAACTAAGATAATGAATGATAGTTAGCATTTTCGGAATCAGAGGAAAAATCGCAACTATTTTATTTATACAATTAATCAACTATGTAAATTACAAGCACACTTGAATAATAGAATTGATCTTTAAAATATGTACTTATTTAATCTCACTGCTCTTTCTTTATAATTATATATATTCATAATTAAATATAAATATTTATAAATTTATTCAACTCTTGTAACATAATCTTTGAGGAAAAAAAGAGAATGGCTTAATTGAAAAAATCTTGTCATCTTTGCAGGAAGGAGCTCTGCACAAATTTTGGTGAGTATTATTTATAGCCCCAAAATTTTTTTCTTCTAATCTTTGCTCAAATCACCTTTAAATAATTTTTTATAACTATTTGATTGATATTCAAAAAATTAAAGAAAAATTTCTCAGGAATTGCAATGAAAAACAACATTTTAATTGTAAACAATCATAACAGGTTTAACTTACATAACATAAATTTAAAATACATTTTAACTTAATCCAATATTAATAACTTTAAATATAAAAAAAAAAATATTTAAGAACAATATAAAAAAATAAAACTTATCATGTTTACACACATATTAAATAAAATTATTTAGCTTTTTAATGAAACTTTTGAAAAAACATTTTTTATATTATTTAACTTACATTATATGTGTTGTTTTTATAAGTTTTAGCGTAATAATTCAATTATTGCGCTAAAACTTGTTTTTATTTACTTGTTGTTTTTATAAGTTTTAGCGTAGTAATTGAATTATTACGCTAAAACTTATAAAAACAACACATATAATGTAAGTTAAATAATATAAAAAAAGTTTTTTCAAAAGTTTCATTAAAAAGCTGAAAAATTTTATTTAATATGTGTGTAAACATGATAAGTTTTATTTTTTATATTGTTCTTAAATTATTTTTTTTTTATTTATTAGAAATGAAAGTTTTAATGTAATAACAATTATTATAATTATAAAAACATTAAAACTTTTATTTTTATATGTAATAGTTATTATTATGTTAAAACTTTTGTTTTTAAAAAAGTAAAAACCTAAACAGTAAAAAATTTATTTGCAACTTCTATTTCCAGATCAAAATAAATCAGTTTTTTTTTACAACTAAAGAAATGGTGATAATAATATTTTATAATGTTTTTGTCATCATATGACATAAATATTAAATTTTGGAATCATTAAAATAACAGGTGTTCCCTCAAAAAGATATGCCACAAAATGCAATAGCTTATGTACAAATATTTAAATAACACAAGTGTTAATGTAAGGTTTAACACCTTACATTAACACTTGTGTTATTAACACAGATTATAGCGTTAAAGTAAATTAATATGAGTAAACAAATAAAACATAATAAACATAAAAAAAATCAAAAATATTTGTTCTTTAGTCATAAATGAGCTGAAAAAATGTAGATTGGTAAAATGCGTACAGCGTGTAAAGAATGTTGGCAGTCAATGCACCAGTCAATGATGGTTCTGTTAAAGAAATCAGAAGCTTAAAAGTATATAAACCAGAAAAAAATAGAAACTTTAGCCTTGTGTCAACACTTGTGGTATTTAAGCAAAGAATTAATAGGCCTAAGTTTCCCTGACATTTTTTTCTTTAACTTCAAAGGGAGAAATAAAAAATGCAAAGATTGAAGCAGAAATCAAGTAGAACAGTTTTGAAACGGAAGTGACAAAGAAAACTCACTTGTCAAGTTAAAACAATTGGAAGTGACAAAGAAAAGTTAAAATCAACTCAAAATTTTTTTGACATTTGTCATGCTTTTTGAACATCTGGAAATCTGATGAGATCTATTTATTCATATTGATCCATCATTATGGATTCAAAATAATAACAGGCCTTGCGATAAAGCGTCGGGCGATGTGAATTTTACATCGTTCAAGATGTAATTTCAGCTATTTGCGCTGAGCAAAAAATTTTTTGTTTGAGTATATTTAAAGATATTTTTGAGTGGAATTTTAATGAAGTAATTTACAATTATTTTAACATTTAATAAAGTATTTTAAAAACCGCACGCAGTTGATATAAAAGTTTGAATTAAAAAAAATTAAACATGCTCATTATTTACAAGTAGAAAAAATTCAGATTAAAAAAAAAGTTTAAATCTTTTAAGCTAACATTTTAATAAAACTATTCAGCAATAGCAAAGTTGTCGATAAAATTGAACAAAAATACTTTCTTTTAGTTTTAGATTTTAAACTTAAATAATTATTTTACGGGGGTTTGTTAAGTTTTAAAGTTATTCCATAGATTTAAAAATATTTATTAACTGATAGACGTATTTAAAGTATTTAAGAGTAATTTCGAGGAAACATTTTTAAAACTGGTGAGCGCAAATAAAAAAAATAAAAGGATTAATATTAAAACGTATTCTACTTGATTCAATAAAAAAGTACAGTTATTAAAATTTTTGTAAAAAGTAACTCAAAAAAATTAAGCTTTTATGTTAAAAGTTACAGAAACTCAACGAAGCGTGCTCAAGAACAGCTGCTGAAAAATAGAACGTCAATAGTTTTTCAAATAATTTTTAATAATAATTTTTAAGAATAATTTTTTCGCTGAAATATTTCTTTTATACCTATAAGATTTTTATTCTAACATTTTATTTTATTTTACTAGAAATAAAATTCCTTGTTAACATTAAAAATCTATTCAAAACGTTCGTTTAAGTTTTTTATTAATACGAGTGATTGTGCTTATCAACCGCTTTATGAAAATAAATAAAAATAAATAAATAAATAAATATTATATAAAATCGCTGGTAAAAATATTAGCTATTGCACAGTTTTTAATCGTACAATATTAAAATTTCCAGTTTATTACTCGCTGACTTTTTAAAAAGAAAAAATTATTATTTGAAAAACTTTAAATTGCATATATGAGAAAAAAAAAATCAAATATTAGCATATTTTATAATCTTTTTTAAATTTTAGTTATGTTTTTTATTCGTTTAGTATAGACAAAACGTGTCAAATGTCGAGAAAATAAGCAAATGTTTTTACATTTTAAAAAAAGAAACATTCCAAAACATTTTTTAATAATAACATTTCTACATTAATGATTTAAAGTAGTTTTGCGGTAATTAAGTAAATTGGTGCAGTTAATTTTGATAAATATAAAAAGCAAATAAAAAGAATTTAATGACGTCAAAAATCACGTCGTGCTTATGCGTCGTGCAGTTTTTATTCATCACAAGGCCTATAATAATATACGAAAGGCAAAGACATAGTGGAATAAAGGTTTTGAATGATTATACTAAGCGCGTAACATTGTTATTGGGGTAAGAGTTAAATGTTTTTAATAATAAATAAACAAAAGTAAAAATTTAAGTCCTAATAACAATATCATAATTGCGCAAATTTAATTTTTGAATGAATGAACTTTTGATCTTTAGCTCACTATTTTATTTTACGCAAGGAAAACGACAAAACAAAATAGGAGTTTTGTTAAATGAATAGAATTGCTAATATTTAAATCGAAATGAAAATTAAAATAATAGTAATTATGCTTATTAAACATTTATTTTTTGTATTCAAATAATTATCATCTATATAATAACTTTTAAAACTATGGGTCGCAACCCCAAATGGGTTTGTTTAATAGAATATTGGGGTCTCAAGGTTTTAATTTAAATATAATTAAATGCATGAACTTGTATAATTGTGTATTTTTTTCATATGTATCTACATTGTAGGGCCCTGCGAATTGGCAGTTTTTGTTTAGAATCGAATCTCGAACAAAGCAGGTCTTGATTCGTGACTCGAATCACATTTCCAATCAACATTTTAAAGTCTAAATTTAAATTATTTTTTATTTAATGGTACATATTTGAAAAAATAATAAAATAAAAAAATTGTAGATTCTTTTTATTGATACTTCTTACTCTGGTTAACCTTTTTAATGACTAACTAAAAAGGTATTTAAGGATAAGTAATGTTATTTCGATAGCGCCAAAGCAAAGAATATCTAAAATACTGATAACAAAAACAAAATAAGTAAGGATTGGATTTTTGAAAATTTTCAAATCGAATCTTGAATCATGTTTTTGATACAATTCGATTTAAAATTTCAAAGCTTCGCAGGGCCCTAGTACATTGTTACCTAATCAACATATAATCACAAAATATTTAATAATTTTTTAATTTATATTTATCTTGGTTCACAAAAAAATGTTCAATCATAAATGAGGTAATAAATTAAAAAAATTTAAAAAGCCCTGGTCTATATAATATACTATTTACAAATAGCGTAGTACTTGCAATTTTGCAAAATACTACGCTGTTTGTAAATATTGATTAAAAATTGTTTAAAATATTTTAAAATATTATATAACTGAAACTACTAAAATATAGTTAAATAAATATACTTATTGTTTTTAAAATATACTTAATGTTTAATATTCTTTAAACAACTTTCAATAAATATTTACAAAAAGCGTAGTATTTATAACTTGAATAGCATAAATAAAATAGTTTTTCATAGCATAAAATAAGTATCGCTTGCCTATGTTCACTGCTAATATCATCTATTACATATGTTTTAAAACGAAATATGTTTTATTTATTGTCTCCCATTATAAAATGCATTAGACAATCTAAAAATTTA